TTGATTTTAATAGTTTCGGGAAACTCATTTTGATCCATAACAATTGGATATTGAATAGAAACGATTGTTCCCATTGCACCATTAACTAACCCTTGCAAAATGTTAATATTTCTCACAAGCATTACCCGAACATGCATTCCAATCGTCAAATTACTCGGAATTCCACCAGTTTTGGAAATCTGATAATTTTTGAGCTTATTTCTATGATCTTTAGTTATTGGGATATTTTTAGCAACATACGTATCTTTTGCATGCAAACAAATTAATTCAATTCCAGAATGACGTAATTGTGCAATCTTCTTGTCATTGTGTGCTTTAACTTGTTTACATAATGGGTAAATATGCAAAAGTGAATCAACATCAGTAAGCTGTGAATCACTTAGTTTCAATTTTTTAATTTGTCTTTCAGCCAATGCAAGAGCCTGGTCATTGCTAAGATGACCAAGTCTTAAGCTATTGCATATTTCAAGTAGCACATTATCTTTTTGGCGATGATTCGTAGTCAATTCACGCAATTGAAATTGCCTCCACAATACTATTGTAGAATTGTCATCAAAAACAAACGAACCTAGAACCGGTGGTAATTGATAAAAATCACCAAATACTATCACATTTAAACCGCCGAAATCAACATCATGATTCCCTTTGAACAACTTACATCTTTCATTAATTATATTAAAATTTTTGGCAGTTAGCATGCTAATTTCGTCAATGGAAACATACAATAATGATTTGAAATAACCCTTTAGTGTTTCTAATTTTGATGGATGGATGTTCGGTATAGCGCTACCAAATTCATTGATTGGCAACATGAAAATTGAATGTAATGTTGTCCCTTTGACATTTCGCGCGGCCACTCCAGTTGGTGCTCCGACAACATAGCTAATTCTGTCATGGAAAATGATATCTAACATAGCAGTCATTTTTTTTTAAGATGAAACTTTTCCCTGTTCCTCCCTCACCTGTAATGAAATATCTAATGGCATCATTGCCTTTCAAGTGATTTACAATTGAATTTTTGAAATCACATAGAATAAATCTTTGATCCTCAGAAATATTATCAATTGTAATTGCTTCTGAAAATCCCTTTTCAATATCTTGCTCTGATACACTTGCTAATGGCCTAATTTCAACCTCATTATGTTGAAAAGCCGGGTGATTATCAAATAAAAATGTGTATTCAAAATCACGATCATCAATTGCTCGAGAAATCTCATTGAAAAGCTTTTCATTGTTACAACTGTGCAACCGATTGGTCTTGCAAAAATTATACCATTCACATAATCTCTCTCGCTTTGCAAAATGATAATTTTCATCCCGAAACGGCACAAAAAGAAGGAGGAATGTATAATAATAATAATCTTCAGGCATATTTTTGAATGACCGAATCTTAATTGCCGCTTTCTTTTTACGTTCATCATAATTGCTCAATCTCACGACATTTTCATCCATCAAATCGTTTTCATCATAAGTAATTTTTATCGAAGAAACCAATTCAAACAATGAATAATTTTCAAATCGAATCGGCCGTTCAATATATTTTTGAATTATCGGTTTACCTTGATTAGGCAATAGTTCGCCTAAACTTGATATTGCAAATTTGCGCTTAGCACGCAAATCTGGAAAATCGGTGTCGATGAAACAAACCTCGCGAGTTGTTTTCTTCAATGGCAAACCCAATATGCGAAAGATAGCTTCTTGTGAACTAACTTCACGGTTATTCATTAACAATCGCTGAATATTTTCAATTATATCCTTATGACCACTTGGGTCATCGAATGCTTGCTTAAGTAAATTGGCAATTTTTTTGGCAGTTTGCGAAGATTCATTCTTTGTAATATATTTAGCATATATACTTTGTAAGCGATAACATCTTGTAATCCAGCAACACATTGAATATCCATATTTGCCATCCAAACTTCAAGAATGATTGCATTATAATTATTAATGTATTGATCGCCCATTTCACGAACTCTATATAGAAATTTATCGCATTTGCGTTTAGCATCCTGCACTAAACATGTATTTGCGGAAATTGGTCTTGGAAAGCCATATCGGCACTTACCATTTTTACGCAAACATGAATCCCTACATATATGCCTTTGATACTTCGAATATTTATGATTGGAAGATGTACTGATAACATTGTTCAATCTATTCATAGCTTCCTGCGAATCGTATGCAGGCCAATTTTCAACCCAGATTACTAAATGATAATGCGGAGAACCCCGCATTTGAAATTCTACACGAATGAAATAGTCGGTTATCATTCCTCCAAATATCTCTGCACTTTGTTTTTTCAAAAAATTTTCAAAAAAATAATCAAATTTAGAATTACAAAAAAGCGTTGTCCCAACAGGATCGTCATTAACTAATTCGAAACGTTTTTCAATTGAAAATGATTCAAACTCATTTGCATTCATTTCAATTCCTGTCTTGCGACGATAAAGCCAAGCAATTAGATCATCCCACCCAATTTCATTCACAGTAAATGTGAGAAAAAAAGTGGGGGGCCCTAAGAGATTTACAATGGCAAATAAATCTGTATAAGCTTTTCGCCAATAGCTAGCATAGCCACGCAGAGATTGTAATGAGGCATAAAGTTTTTTTTTCAATAAATTTGTGCCAGCGTCGTTTTCTAATTTTGCCATTACAGAGGTATTTGCCATTGCTAGCTGTTTTTCGTACGTAACAAGTGCGTAAAAAATATAATCTTTATTGAGTGAATGAGGAGACGCGTAATTGTTAATCCTCGATTTGAAATATGCCTTCAACTCCAATGGTTTCTGAGATCTGTAATTTTTCTTTCTCAATGGATTCTGTTTTAAATTTTCATTATTTAATATGCTAGTGTAATTGCCTTCACCAAATGGAAATAACTCTGGAAACGCTAAGGCTTCCACTTTCAAAGCATCATGGTTCGAAAGTGGAAATTGTTTCTCGCGATCAACTACAAGTAATTTAGCATTATTTGCCTTTTCAAATACCTCTTCAATCGATGTTTGTGGCAAATTTTCACCTAAAAATAAAGTTGTATTCATTTTTAAAGCTAATTGTTGAGAGACGAAATCGTCGTCAAAATTTTTGCAAGATTCAATCAATTCATAAAAAATACAAATGCATTTTGTTTTTTACTGGCTTGAAGCGATTTTGGATGAATGCATTTGCTTCGTCGATTCCGACTTTGAATAAGGCAATTCTACCATTTTTACTATTTTTATGTGAGCGCTGACCCCCTTTCAAATGACTGTCTAGCGACAAAAAAAATACATGACTTAATTTACTACAAATAATATAACTATTGTTGTTCGATGCAAAATAGAAGAGCTTATCTTGAATTGAACTTTGCACATTGAAAAATTCAGCAAACTCATTTTTTGTCAAAATTAAAGAATGATTTTCCTTCAATGCAAATGTATATGAACTTTTAGAAATATTCAATGTAAGTACCTGAACATGTGTACGATTACACTGTGTAAGTACACGAGTACATCGTGTACATTACGATTATACAAATCATTTGTCAACAAAAAATGGTTATCTAAATCAATAAGAAATGTTGTTTGAACAGCATAAGGCAAAACATTTCTAATTTCAAAAATATTTTGTGGAAAAAGCATTATATCGCCGCTCCAATGTGTTTGGTGTAAATGCGGTCTTCCTGCTACTATTTTGCAAAATGGACTGACAATTTTTATAGTCTGTAGCTCAAAATATGTAAGTTTTGCAATCGACTGAGGGCAAAAACCATCGTTATAAAGCCCATTGAAAATCGAGCTTTGTGGCATTTTATGTTTGCTAATATTTTCCTTGCAAGTATGGCACAACGCAACTACAGAACCATTGGAAAGATACTTATTCACATAATTTACTAACTCGGGGAGTTGACGAGGAAAAGGTTAATGTTGAATGTAAGTAGCTATCAAAATTTCAGATTGAGAATTAACTTTATGTGTAGATGATTTAAATTTAAAAATAATCTTATGACAAATTTTACAAAAATCTGGTTTCATTGCAATTCTTAGATTAAGCAAATAAATATCGATTATTTTTCTTTGTTTAATTGCATTGGCTAAATATGAAAAAGACAAAGAAGACAATAATGAATAATTATTGAAATGAAACAAAATTCAAACATACCTCCATCAACAGCACTAGCATTGAATTCACGTTTGGTGTTTGATAAAAAGAGTTTGCACTCTGGAAAATCAATAGAAATCAATTCAATGTATCATAAATATCAATCTTCTAATACAAATACAATCAAAAAAGAATCAGAAAACTAAAAGCATTTTGTTTCATTTGCATTCACAATCTCACTATTAAATCACAAAAACCATTGCAATTGAATGAAATGCAATAATGAATGAATCAAGTATAACACTATTAACTCACCTCGGTTTTCGCTACCATCATGGCTTCGTTTCCCGCTGGATTTTTCAATTCCATTGTCGGAAAAATAACCCGATTCATTGAGAGAATTATTGACAGTTGACATTTTCACTCGATTGCAATTTACTTTCTTATTTTGAATCCGGTACTATATCTGTAAACGATAATTGATACCAACACTTTGAATTTCAACTGCAATTCCAATTATAATTCACAAATTACGTTTGTAGATGCAAACACATGAACACTCAAGTAAAATTTCAATTACTATTAGCACAATAAGTTAAAGACTCAAAAATTTACCATTCAATGTAATATGCAACTGCAAACGCCTCAGTCATCATTAGAAACAATTTATATATACAATGTCAAGATGAGGACACAAAATCTGTTATCTAATTTTGCAACGATTTATTTTGAGACAATTGGCTAAGATTTAAATTCAAACGGTAGTTGTTGAACAGGATACATGCACAACTATGGTAACACAGCTAATTTAGCAACTGCATTTTTTGAATTGTGATTTCACAGTCATTGTAACGCAATAAACCATTTGTAGTAGTAGACATTTATCAATCTTGTTTTTTACAATCTGTGAAATTATCGACATGATATGTCCAATTGCTGGATTGCATACAGTAAAAAGAAATTGGAAAATCTGTGGAAAAGTTGTTGCTAAAAGTGAATTAAAAACATGGGAAAATGACAAGACTAATGGAAAATTTTTCAACTTCGTGATTGCAGACTCTACAAGCTGTATAAAAGCAATCGCATTCAATTCTCAATGTGAAAAAATTTTCCCAATCATAAAAATAAATGCGATATACTACATTTCTAATGGAACTGTGAAAGAGACCAAAAAACAATTTATGGAGCTTAAAAATCCATACGAAATTCATCTTTATAACAATGCGCAAATTGAAATAGCAAAAGATGCTATTGTGGTGGAACCTGAATACAATTTTATGAAGATCGCTGATCTGACAGATACTCCGGCTAACGAATTAATTAACATCAAGTGCGTCGTTAAACATATTGAAACTCTAGAGGAATTCGGTGTCGATAAAATAAGTTACAAACGCAATATTGCATTAATTGACGATAGTGAATCCGAAATAAAATTGACTCTTTGGAATGAAAAGGCAAAAACATTTGCTTGTGAAGAAGGTTCTGTAATAATGGCAAAACGCTTGAAAGTAGTCGATTACAATGGAAAAAATTTACTTGCACTGGATGTTTCAAATATAAAAATCAATCCTGACATTCCTGAATCACCAATTTTGAAAGCATGGTTCTTTGATCATGGGAGAAAAATTTCTAAAAATTGTTTAACATTGGAACCAAAAAATGTCAATCTACAAACGCTGAAACAAATTTCCATTTCTACAAATGCTCATTGCCAAGCAACTGTTGTTGAGATTAAAGCATGTAATTTCTATTCCTCATGCCCAGATGGTTGCAATAAGAAATTGATTGAGGACGAAGATGGTTTCTACAAGTTTGATACCTGTGATAAAGTGATGATGGAAGGTAACCAAAAGCTAGTTTTGAAAGTGAAAATAGTCGATTTCATCGCTACTATCGATGTAGCAATTTACAGTGAGATAATTGAAACACTGACAAATTGCAAATGTGAACAATTGTCAGTCTTAGAAATCGAAAATCGATCTGATTTCGAAGCTAAATTGCATGAATGCATATTATTGAATGTATATACGTTTGATATAAGAATTAAGATGGTTACCCGTGATGGAATTACGAGTCCTGATTACATAGTGAATAGAATGAACCGAAAAACTGAATCTCCATATCAAACAATAAATGCAATAAAAAATCTCGCAAAAGATTTAGCTGAATTGAAAAAATGTATTTAATGAATAAACTTTATCTAATGTGATTGATCTAAAGTGATCAAATTGAAATTGATCTAAATTGATCAAATGTACATCAATCAAATAATTGCCAAATTGTCAAATTGCTATCTTGAAATCAAATGAATGATTTATTTCAGATTAACAATAAAATGTATGAATCTTAAGCAGTAGAGATGAAATATTTATCTATCAAATGATTTTATCAATTTTTATTTTCAAAATATCTTAATTGTAAATGAAATTACAATTTTTATTATATGATTACAATTTGAATGAAAAATGGTATTTAAATTTGTTTGAAATGAATAGATGTTTGAACTTGAAACAATTCAATTGAATAATGTCGATTGAATATGAAATGAAAATTTACAATTTAGCTTTTTTCAGTTCGTCTTTCAAAATTGTGCAACCACCAACCGAATGACGCTGACCACAATATGAACATGTATGGTCTTTTGAACATTTACAAGTCTTATTTTTTTTAAATCAAAATGAAAAGAATAGCAATAATCTTTTGTTGGCACGAAACAATTATGTTCATTGTTCAATCTTTTACCAAAACCCAATGCAATCAACATTTCGCTCAAATCTTTCTCATCGTCTCCAATTTTCGCTCTGAATTGACAAAATGTTCCTTCCGAATTTGTTCTGGCAATCGGCTTAATCTTAATAACTTTCTCTATTAGCACCAAATTATTCTCAATGAAATCCCTCATTTGCTCCTGCTCAACTTTCAAAAAGCAAAATCTCGAAATTGGAGCAATGCCAGTCATTTTCACTAATTGAACAGTGATATTGATTTCATAAATGTGAGGAATATCGAACATATCGCTTTCAGCAACCCAGCATTTGTTTCCATAATCAAGAAATTGGACATAAACACTGTGAATTTTGTTATTCCTAGTGCCTAAGCAAACTGCTCTTTTCAGGTATCGCTTTTTGCGATAAAAATCTTGAACCAATATTGGATCATTTGCCAAAATTTCCAATGTTTGATCTCGTGATGCCATATATTCTGGATCGACGACATAAATCCAAAAAGGATCTCGGAAAAAAGTTAATTTCGTTTTTATCCAATCTCGTTCCTCCGTTGGAAGCATTTGCAATGGCTGTTTGCTGCAATGAGCAGGATAACTAAGAACACTGCTTTCGCCTGATCCAATCGACATTGCCATGCTAGATGCTGGAGACGTTATTGGTACCGATGCATTGAACATATCACTGTCGCAATTTTCAATGGAATCGACATTCACAGTTTCAACGCTAATCTCAAACTTGGAAAATCCATTTGTATCAGTAACTTCCTTGAATTTGATTGCTGGAAACTCATGAAGAAAAGCATTTATCTTTTTCCATTCTTCAATTCTGGCCAGAACTGATTCTAATGCGATCTGTTGGTTGGCAACTGCAAATTTGAGATATTGAACTCCAGTAGACGATGTTGTGACATTATTAATTCTTTTCAAAGTTGCATTGAAATTATCATCGCAGCTACTGATGAATTCTTGCTGAAACTGTTTAATTTTACTAACAATAATTTCGAATTGGCGTAAATTATATCTGATAATGGCGTTTTTACCATTAATGGATTCTTGAGCATTTTGATCTAACGAATTGTCAATTTTCTTCATTGAATCCTCCTTTACATCAATATAATTATGGCGTTCAACGTCTGCAGTCTCCTTCCAGCAACCAGCACAGATTTTCAATGGCCCAATGTAACTAACGATAAACATTTTACATTTCTCACATTTATCTTGAACAAATGTCGATAGCAACTCTTTAGAGCAAGAAACACTTCCTTGGTGTGTTTGATAATAGTCATGATCACACAATAGTTGGTTTTTACAGCTACAACTAAAAACTGCAAGTGATTTACAAACATTGTAGAAAACGCACTTCTTTGCAGTAATTTCTAAGCAATTTTCAAATGGGTGATTGCATTTTTTACATCTGCCACCGGACGAACACTGCAAACAAAATATGACGAAACACGAATGTATTCTATAATTTTCCGAACCATCGGCATCACACAATTCACATTTTAAAGTTGACATTTTAATAGCTTTATAATAAAAAAGCTAAATTACAATGATAATCGAAAACAAATTTTCAATGATATCAATAACATCAAATAACGTTTGAAATTGTGATCTTTTGATTTGTGTGTGGTGAACAAACAAATTGTTGAAATTAGAAAAAACAGATTGACAATATAAAATTAAACGCTAATTGAAAATACTAATTGGAAAATAATAATTGAAAAAGAACAATCACACGGCAGAACCTTGCGTTTGTCTCACTTTCATTTCCATAGAAACAAAAGTATCCAATTTACTTGGAATAAGCGCGGATTTCAAATGACAATTGATTTGCTAATTAATCAATGATCATTAAACATTGTTATTAAACAATGCTATTCAACATAGCTGAATGTTTATTACTATTGCCGATAGGAAATCAATTTTAAATAATCAATTCAATGCAAAATGTAACTCATTTTTCTTCATTGAAAAACAGTATATGAGATAACAATTGCTCTAATCAAAAAATATGGTCTAAAATTTGATAAACCCATAGTTATCTTAAATGTTAATTTTTTTAATACTGAGCAAAGCCAAATGCGTAATCTTTTGCATTCTTTATCAGGCAAAAGTAAACTATAATATATACTTAGCCACTGTGTGGGCTAATATAAAGATTTTCTCCAGAAACAATCAGCCACTCTCTCCTAAGCATCAACCAGAAGGCGACACCTCATTAACCTTTCTTTTATATACATTTTAAACCTTTAATAAAAGATTTTTTGAAAAAACAAACAACCACAGGTCACGCAACTATTTAAAGTTGGTCTCATTTTTTATTGATCACTTCTCAAATGAGTCAAAGAGTAAACTGATTCTATTATGAAGTTTAACTGTAATTTACAATCAGAACATCAAAACTTTGCTAAACATTTATATACAGGGCATTTCAGCTAATTTTACCGTTGTAAATTGGTTATATCTTTGCTCCTGAGTGAACTTGAGGTGTGATATTTTGTTTATGAGAATTTAGGCGATACTCAATTGTCATATCTCAAGGTCAAGGCATGTTCATAACTTACTCTGGTCAAATGATATGAGTGTTTACGCATTGATGTGTTGATCCATTGGTTTTGAGAAAAATGCTTTCATCTTCCAACGGCGCGAGATACCGACTCTTAGCAAGCATCAAACAATATAAAAATTCTCGCGCTCTCAGAAAATGGCCTCCAAATATCAGTCATAGGTCAAATAACGCAATGACCTTGAATCACCTTGACCTTGAAATATGACAATTGAGTATCGCCCAAATTTCCATAAACAAAATATCACACCTCAAGTTCACTCATTAGCAAAGATATAGCCAATTTAAAACGGTAAAATTAGCTGAAATGCCCTGTATTAACCTGTGAGGAAAAATTATGTTACAAATAATTTGATTTGAATTTTTATTAAGTTTTATAGCTAAAAGCCTGAAATTTTCAGGAAATAAGGATTGAATTCGCGTCAATACTTGATTTGAATCTGAGGTCGATCCATATTATGGTTCAAAAGTTATCCAACATTTTCGATTTTTTGAATCGACCGCAAATGCTCGTAAAATGCAACAAAAATTTCCAATAATTTTTTAAACTTACACTACAGGGCGTTTTAAAAGCATGTAGTTCCAAAATTAACACAAATCGGAACTTTAAGAGTCAATTGAATGCATAAGTTAATTTATGTCGATTTGGTGCTCAGAATACGAACAATTAACAAAAGAATAAAAAGTAAGCTCAAAAAATCAATGCTAGCTCTTTTGAAAGCCTCGTGGTTAATCTCAAATTTAAAATGAACGAGGCGGATTAGATAGGATTATCTTATATGCGAAAGATCCTCTGATAGCCAGGGAGGCTATCGTTAGAGATCAACTCTTAAAATATTGATTAATTATTAATTAAATAAACAAAGAATGAACAATTTGTAACATAATTTTTCCCCACAGGTTATACAATTTTTTTTAAACGTTAGGGACCAAATTTTAAATTTTTTTATAAGATCGTCCACCACCCGATTCTAACACATCCAATATCCACTATCAATAGCCATCATATCTAAAAAGTGGCGAACAATTTGGTGGATTTGAATGGTGGACAATCTTATAAAAAAAAATTTGAAAATATGTTGGAAAAAAGTGTCAGATGTGGCGGTAAAAAGCCGGTCCCAACGTTGGATGTCTGTACTCCAAAAGATACAAAATATATGAGCTTTAGGTGTAACTTCACTCTAGTAAAGACAGAAAATATACATGTACATGTAGATGTTCCATAAAAGCTGTCGCGGCTGGCCAGTCCACAAAAAACAATACAACCCTTGAGAGGTTTAACTGTACCTCAATTTGCAAGCTATAAATTGTTACACCCTTTAATTACAGGCGAATCAAAACAGTAAAGTATTTCTTTACTTTCTGAATGCATCTACAATACAATGTACAATAAAACAAAGGAAAAGTACAAAACATCAAGATAAGTAAAATTTATTCAATTTACAGATGTAATAAATTATGATATAAGATATTTTATTGTAAGTGCTTTCTCCGAAACAATTGTGTCCTTGTTTTCAATCTCAATCACTGTTTTATACCAGGCTAAAACAATGATATGAAACATTTTTGATGCTTTGGAACCATACTGTCAAGACAATAAGCTACATCCTTGTAACACGAGAAGAGCCCTTGCTTGTACTACTGTTTTCAATTTTTTCCGGCTCTTATTGTGAAGGACGAAAAATGACGAGACGCGTCTTTTTGATTTTGTAACTTTGGTGTGTGGTTATTGATGTTTGAGCTCATTCGAGCTTAGATATCATTAAACACGTACTTGCTAAACAAAAATACGTGTCTCTATTTTTTATCCTCTACAATGTAAACCACAAAAAAATGAATTGCCAGATAATTGAAACAATTTTCTCTTTGGTCCAGACATATGATAACTTTGCATTAGTTTTTGTCTATAACTGAATTAGATCAATATGAATCATTAATATTATTAATAATACAGAAATTCAACTGTAAGTGATTTAGGTCATAAGAGTTCGCTTTGAGCACCAATTTGCAATATTGCTTTTCGATAATCTTAGCATCATTCATCCATCGTCATCTTACATGTTAGATCATTTTGTTTTGAGTTTTAACTGTGACTTTGACTTTACAGTTGAGATCAAACTTGTAACGGGACCAACGACAAATAGATGGAAGAAAAATGCTGCGAAAAAGGTTAGAGCTAAAGACTCGATAGCTATTGAAATCTGTAAAGAAAAGATAAAAAATAAAAAAAATATTAATTATGTTGTTAAATTGTTTATGAGTGGAGATGAACTTACCCATGACTCTATTGAATTGAGTGACCAACGCTGTGTTGAATATCGTAATATAGTCATGCAGATATGCACATAGTATGCGGATCGCCAAAGTGTTGAGCAAATGTGAAGTAAACGATTCTTCGGTCCAGAAGGAATATTCTTAGCTTTGACTGAACTGTCTTCATCTGTCTGAACGACTTGTTTAATCTCCTTTTCAAAGCTTGATTCAAAATTATTATTGATGCAATTGTTGTTTTCACTGAAATTTTTTTTGTCCAATGGATGGGTGAAAAATTCTCGCAACGAATCGGAATTGCACATAAAAGGAAATGTGAATATAACTCCAGTGCAAAGTCGAAAGAAGATGAAATAAATTCCGTTGAGAATCGATCCATGCATATAGTCTTCCAAAGAAACCCAAATTGGCGGTAAAAGGTGCAACGTTAATACGATTGCAGCAAGTAGCTTGCTGCATCGAGTGAAGTTGATCTAAATTGAATGGATTAAATAGATAGATGTATATTGGGTATAATCGGTATCAGTAGTAAATTAAGTTTGAATGAAAAGTGGTAAGAAAAAAGTTTTTGTTTTAATAAAATGATGCTTACCAAAATTGGATTTGATTTTTCATACCTATTCATAATCAAATAGGTCCATAATGGGGGAAGAGTGTATATCCAAACATGCATTGAAGTTGGCATAGAAATATTTTCTAACCAGTAAAGCATAGGTCTAAGAAAAACAAAACAAAATGCAATACTAAGCAGCTTTATAAATAAGAATAGGAAACTTACCTGATTTCTAATGAACGGGCTAACATGTGAGGATGGGCATCTTTGATGAATGCAGAGACACCAGTATATAATAATCCAGCTATTACTATTAATGAATTAACGGTAACAGCGAGTTTTGGAGATCTTTTGTAAAGATGAACCAATAAAATGATCACAGGTAAAATTTGAAATTCAACAGCAACAGACCAAGTATGTGGTAAACACTGAAATGATAGAGAAAAAATTAGAGCTCAAGAATAATTAATCAATTATCATAAACATGACACATACCATATCGATTATGGGACGATAATTGTTTTGTATAAATAAAAGGTTTGTATGAAATGATCTTAAACAAGCTTCGGCAGTATAATCACTGAAAATTGACATGATAGGGCCATCGAAAAACACTGGAGTGATGAAGGTGAAAGCGACCAGGGGAAGAGAAATGAGGATGATTCTGTAAGAATGAAAGGTTGAGGTTTTAATATTATTCATTAAACGACTCATAACGACAATTTACGTAAACATTTTGATGAGCATTTTGATAAAAGATGAAATCAAAGAGGTTGATGGTCCAGTGATCTTCCAGTATTCCATGGTGCGAGCTATCGATCTATGAATAGGATAAAAAATAATTTCAATCATCTAATTAGCATAGAATAGTACGGATACGAACTTACCCATAAACAAAGAGAATGCTTACCCACCAATCAGATCCACCTCTAATCTGAAAGCTATTACGGTTTTTCATGAGATTGTTTGAGTTAGCTTAATTGCATTTCAGAAAAAGGACAAAAGAATGTATCATTGACAAACTGTAAATTATTCAATGTATAAAGAGATCGAAATAGGTATACCAAAAAGTCCGCCTCCTTTGGAGAAAAAAAACCAAAAAAATGCATGGACAGTTAAAGTTGCAGAATGAACTACTAGTTGAAACTTGGTTAAAAAAGTCATTCTTGATGTTGAGACAGGATTGATAAGTCCATTGTAATTACGAATTAAAGAGAAATGTCGAGTCCAGCCACTAGATCTCACTGACCAATCCAACCAAGTTGCATATAAATTTATTACAACAATTGTAGTCAAAAAAGCTCTGTGAAAAAAATAAAATATTAATTTGTTTGATATGTTTAGCATGTAATAAGAAACTTATTTGAAAAGAAATCATTTCAACTTACAATGATATTTTTTGATATCTCTTAGCATTCATAATATTTTCAACCAATGTAGTCTTAATTTTACATTGATCAGTTTTTATATACTGCCAATCATAAACGTCAATAGCTGAATATTGAAAGTAAAGTAAATCGATCGGTGGATCAGATACAGAACAAAACATAAATTAAACTCGCGTTTAAGGTAATTGCATATATATTCTAGATCTTACCTTTAGAAAAGATATTTTGAATATCATCTTGAGAACAAGAAGAAGGAATGCAGAGACCAATCTTGAAGACGGCTTCGTAAAAAAGTGACACTATTTTATTTCTCGTGAATATGTTCTTATAGTATTCTGATTCCGATATTTTTGGTAAAATTGATATTGTACAATGTTGACCAAATTCACTTTCCTTTGTTTCATCGTTGATCCATTGAAGACTTAAACATCTATCATAATTACCAAAATCATAGTAACCAGTTTCAGTTGAATCAACAATAAATCTAGACGATGAATCAAACACTTTGTAATAAGAATGATAAAAAACAAATAAATGGATTTTAGTAAAAAATATAATTTAAATGCAAACATGTAATTGTAAAGGCGCTTAAATGGTATCGAGTCAAAGTTTGAGTACAATTATCCAACCACTAAAAGACATGAAAAGATACTTACTTTGAAATGTCCATTGATTATCCTTCTTCATTGAATTAAAAACATTATTTAAACTTTTGATACATGATGATGATACTTTAAGTGGTTCCAGATTATTTGAATTAACAAAATCCCAAAACACATGATTGAATCCAATTTTTAGCAATTTGGCTTGTTTAATATTATATTCACTCGTTTCATTAGTGAACATGTGAATGGGTTGAATGAATCCATTGAATATCAACAGAAGTAACAAAAAAGTGAAAAATTGAACAATAAAAATCTTCATCTTGATACAATTATTATAAATATAAATATTGATCACTATCTATGGTTACAAATTGTGCTCGTTAGATCATCTTCTTTATTTTTAAATGTTTACATTACACTACAGTACTACAGTAAAGTTCACTCTTTGATAGAAAGAAAAAGAATGTTCATTGTGATGTTCAATATATTTCCTAACTATTTAAGATGAATAAATTTCCTCCAATCGATTGTAATCATTCGAGTGAATCAGAAACGAAGAATGAACAAAAGGATTTTAAAATGAAAAGGCTGATTTTACTTCTAATGATTTCTCTGGCTTCACAATAATTTAAAGTAACCCTGAAAATTCATTGTCATTCAATTAAAATCTCAACCATCTGAACTGGCTCGTATTGTTATTAATAGTAAATAATCAATTTAACAAGTTAAAGATATTTGTGAGCAAATGTTAGTCCCCAAACCCGTATTTTCTCGCTAGATGGCGAAGTTAAAAAAGTATTTTCAATAACCAGTAGGCGAAGCTCTCTGAAATAAAATCAAACTTGAAAAAAAAACTACAGGGTGCAGCGGAAGTTCGTGCGGATGGGAGGAATGAAAATTGACAGTCGACAAAATAAACTTTGGTATCTGTAGTTTGAATTATTTCATTCGGATCGTCAATCGCCATCTTGAGGTTAAGTTTGAGTATCATAAGGATCGTCAATGATAACTGACCATTGACGATCCAAATGATACTCCAATAGTTAAATGCGAAATATCATTGACGATCCTTATGATAATTACATACTTCGCATTTTTTTGTCATGCTAGATTTAGATAAGACTTATCTCAATCGATAAAATATTCAGCTTTTTATTTATTGGTGACCAGAAGACTTATCAGCTAAAAATTGACCAAATCTAGATTAATAAATAATTATCAAAACTATTAATCCAGATTTTCAAATTTTTCTGATGATAACTTTTGATGTTAATTGCCACTGTTTAATAAATGAAATAAAGTTAAAAAGTTAATCAAAATAACAACTTAATTTAATGATTTTGCTTAACCATCAGTGATGAAACTGTTTATCTCATCTTAATCTTACTTTTCTAAACTTATCTTTTATAGCTGTGTTATCAACATTGTTTTGATTTTTAGCACATAGAAGCCTACGCTTATCTTGAAAGATTGCAAAGTGAATATATAATAACCCCTAAGCCCCTACGGGTCTGGGGAGAAATAACCCCTAAGCCCCTACGGGTCTGGGGAGAAAGATTAACGATAACCTATCTGTCCATCAAAGGACATTGTTTACTTTCATCTTGTAAAGCGTTTTATGAAAAAAACTCTGATCTTTAAAATAATAATCATACGAAAACTGTTTTAATAAATTTTTTATTGAGACACCTTATTTAGAAGGGCTCCGAGTCATTTCGATAATCCTTACGAAGAACAAACAAAAGGTACTAATCAACCGACTGAAGATTAGCAATGTCAAATTTTGTAAACAAAAGTCAAAAGGTGAAGAAAATCAAAGGCCAAAGTTCGAATCAAAACGTTTGGACATGCTGCAAAAACTTTGACTTTCGATTTAAGAGTAGGGACTTAGTCGATTTGTAGGGACATAGAACTGAGTCCATTTGTGTGATTAAAAAACCATACTAACATTGTAAGTTATTATTGTGTAGACAACATTTCCTAAAGGGTGTTGCGTTTAATAAGGTGCAATTATCAGTTAGCCATATGTAGATAAGAAGATGGACTCAGTTATATGTACCTACACATCTTACATAGATAATCATTTACTCTTCACTGTGGTAACTCATAATTGCACCTTACTAAACGCAACACCCTTTAATTTCCTTATTGCAACTCCTAACTAGTCTTGTAAAGCATAACTGTTTGCTAAAATGGTGAGTCAAAAAGAATACTCAAAACCAGAAATGGCATAGCTGGGTGCAAATCTTTGCTTCGATTTGCTACGCTCCGATAATTAATTTAATTTAGACTGATTATCCTCATCAGCGTGAATATCGATTTAGCTAGCTAAGACTTGAAGAGAGAAGACAGCAGCTCTCGGAGTTTTGTATACCCATACCGTTCTCAGATCTATGCACTATCTTAATCAAAATTGTGTAAAAACATTTGAAATGCCTTGTATGCCTTGAGGTGCCATCGCCTATTCTCATCTCAAAAAGATAACATTACGTGCTACCTTTTGTTATATCCTTTCAGAGCTTAATTGAATTTATAAGCAATAGCTTAGTTATCAAATAACACACAAGAAAATATTTTTTATATAAACTAAAACATCAAGTATTTAGATTAGAGGACGAAAATGATCTTAACTTAATGACGATTACGATAAACATCCAACCGTCATTTATTTCACTGATGGCACCTTCTGACAAAATTTTTTATTCGTTTATCGTATGCTGAAAAATTAGATTCAGCCCAGATACCAATGAAGGGTAGAGAAATTTATCTAATTCAAACTGCTCCATGAATCTTTTCTGATTGGATTTAAATGCAATCTTTAATTCATTTCTTTTCATTTCTCTTAAAATCTAATTTTGCTTATTATAGCCACACTTCATTGTTCAAACAATCTCAATTCTTTGTTTATTTTAGAGTGAAAAAGCTCTCCTAATCTTAACTATGTTTTGGTCAAAACCATTATCTCAAGATACTGGTCAAACTTAGCTTTCAAAAGCTCTGATTACTATGAAAAGTTGACCACAAAATAGTTATAATCTCTATTGAAATTTAACGCTCAAAATTAGTGTCATTAGAGAAAGTAAATCAAAAACCTCTTTCTTTTTACAGTACCCTTCTCAAGCCAATATCACTCTTATGATTTAATCCCTTTGCACAGTAAAGGCTACAGTGATGAGAAAGGTGAAAAGATGTCCCTTGACAATATAGCTCTAGCTATCTCTGGTAATGTAAACTTGGCGTCATAGCCTTGTTAGTGCTAAATCAATTGTCTGGTACTCTTAACCAGAATTAGACAAAATAGAAAGACTTTTTGATCCCCTTTCTCTATTTCCCTCCAATTCAATTTTCTTTGTTTTAATTTTCAGTTTAAAAATCATATCTCTCGATATCTCCATTCACTTGTATTCTGATACTCGTCCTCTTAACTTGTAACTCATTACTATTCAGTAAACCCTCAAAACTCTTAAAACTTCTCACAGTTATTCATTTCAAATTCAATTATTTTAATAAAGTAATTCTAACTCTCTTGAGTTCTCTGTGTTTAACTAGTGATTCCGACCACAATTTTATGTCTTTGCGACTCTACGGTATTAAGCCCGGAATAATTGTGTGTTTATAGCTCAAGCTATCTTTCTATCTCTCTCTGAGATCTCTTAATTGTTCGTGTAACTAAGTGTGTTGAATAAGAACAGTGTACTGTTGGTGTTAACACGAGGAGACGATCCTAGATACGACCCTTAAACTTGTAGTGAAAGCAAGTGTGCAGTCTTCAGATCAGATCACCGTAAAGCATTTTCCTTTCACCAATATGAATCGAATGACAAGAGTCTCTTGAATAGTTTGAAAAATAATTTATTGTATTTTATTGATCACAGACAAACTCACGCACAAATCAATTGCATTGTGTGCATTAGTTACCTTTGATTATTTTGCTTTAAGTTTCAACTGTGGCTTTAACTTTATAATAATAGTTTCAATGAAACTGGTAACTGGACCGACAACAAATAGCTGAAAGAAAAATGCTGCGAAAAAAGTTAGAGCTACACAGTCAATAATTATTGAAAACTGTAAAGAAAAGGTAAAAAGATAAACAAAAATATTAATTATGTTGTTAAATTGTTTATGAGGGGAGATGAACTTACAAATGCTTCTACTGAATTGAGTGACCAACGCTGTATTGAATATCGTAATATAATCATGCTTAAATGCACATAGTATACGGATCGCCAGAGTGTTGAGCAAAAGTGGAGCAAACGATTCTTCTGTCCAGAAGAAATCTTTTTACTAAATTGTGTGACTGCATTGTCCTCATCCGTCTGAACGACTTGGTCAATCTCCTTTTCAGAACTTGGTTCAAAACTATTATTGATGCAATTGTTGTTTTCATTAAAAATTTCTTTGTCCAACGGATGAGAAAAAAATTCTCGCAATGAATCGGAATTGCACATAAAAGGAAATGTGAATACAGCCCCAGTGCAAAGTCGATAGAAGATGAAATAAATAAAGTTCAAAAACGGTGGATGGACATGATTTTCCAGAAGAACCCAAAACGATGGTAAAATGTGTAATGTTAATAGCAAAGCAGCAAGTAGTTTATTACAACTAGTAAACTTGATCTAAATTCAATATGTGAGATGAATGGGTGAAGAGGACAATAAATTAGCTCTACATTGCATCTGTTCATATAAAGATTATTGAAATGTTTAAATGAACTGATGCTTACCAAAATTGGATTTGATTTTTCATACTTATTCATAATGAAATATGTCCCTAAAGGAGCGAGAGTGTAGAGCCAAACAATCATCGGAGTTTGCAAATAAACGTTCTCAAACCAATGGGTCACTGGCCTTTGAAAATAAAGGTTATAATTTAAAAGATTATCAGAAATGATGAAATATTCAAGTAGAAACTCGAATATTATTAATATAAAATCCATACATTTACCTCACATCCAATGAACGGATTATCGGGTGAGGATGAGAATCTTTGATGAATGCAGAGATACCAGTATATAATAATCCAGCTATTACTATTAATGAGTTAATGATAACAGCAAGTTTTGGAGATCTTTTGTAAAGATGAACCAATAAAATGATCACAGGTAAAATTTGAAATTCAACAGCAACAGACCAAGTTTGTGGTAAACACTGAAATGGTAGAACAAAAATTAGAGCTCAAGAATAATTAATCAATTATCATAAACATGACACATACCATATCGATTATGGGACGATAATTGTTTTGTATAAATAAAAAGTTTGCTCCAAATGATCTTAAACAAGCTTCTGCAGTATAATCACTGAATATTGACATGACAGGACCATCAAAAAACAATGGAGTGATGAAGGTGAAAGCGGCCAGGGGAAGAATAGTCAGCATAATTCTGTAAGAATAAAAGCTAACGATGTAAATATTACTCACTACAAAACTAATTATGACAATTTACCCGAGCATCTTGATGAACATGTTAGTAAAAGATGAAATCAAAGAGGTTGATGGTCCAATGAACTTCCAGTATCCCAGTGTGCGAGCTATCGATCTATGGAATAGGATAAAAATAATTTCAATTATCTGATTAGCATATAAGAACTCGGACACTAACTTACCCATAAACAAAAATCATACTTGCAAACCAATCAGATAACCCACTTTTCAGCAGAAAGCTGTTACGGTTTTTCATGATAGAGTTTGAATTGGCTACATTGATAACATTAAAACGAGAAAAAATTAAAAATTATTGTAAATTACTAGAAATTAAAATAATACCAAAAAGTCCCCATCCTTTGCAACAGATGAACCAAACTAATAGATGGACAGTTAAAGTTGAAGAATGAACTACCAGTTGAAACTTGGTTAAAAAAGTCATTCTTGATGTTGAGACAGGATTGATGAATCCATTGTAATTACGAATTAGAGAGAAATGTCGAGTCCAACCTCTAGATTTCACTGACCAATCCAACCAAGTTGCATATAAATTTATAACAACAATCATAGTCAAAAAAGCTCTGTGAAAAATATAAAATATTAATTTGTTTGATATGTTCAGCATGTAATGTTTGAGAAGAATCCTTTGAACTTACAATGATAATTGTTGATATCCCTTAGCATTTATGATATTTTTAACCAACGTAGTCTTAATTTTACATTGATCAGTTTTTACATACTGCCAATCAAAAACTTCAATAGCTGGAAAATAAAGTAAAGTTTATTAATGTCAAGATCACAGTTTTACATGCATGGGTACATGTATAATCTTACCCGCGATGTTAATGCACTGGCCTTACACGTTCAACTGAAACTTTAGTAACCCATGGTTAAACCCTTATTAACTAATAATGAATGATTGATCAAACAAAATTTGTGCTTAAAGATCAATGTGATCGATCGACTGCATTTGAATCAGTGAATAATAATCGAATAAGTTTTAGGTTCGACAATCCACATTCTGATAGAGATACACTAAAAGAAGAACACTGTGAAATTGTATATTGTGCACTTGATAATTGATAGTTTCTCGCAATCACTTTTATAGCTAATTGTCTCAAACTTTAGCCCAAGTTTGGGTCATCGGACTAGTATTTTAAGAGCATTCATATTGCATTTTTCAGCTCTGGGCGATCGGTAGATCAGATGCAGAACAAAACATAAATTAAACGCGCGTATAAGGTAATTGCACATATATTAATATTCTAGATCTTACCTTTAGAAAAGATATTTTGAATATCATCTTGAGAGCAAGAAGAAGGAATGCAGAGACCAATCTTGAGACTGCTTCGTAATATCGTGACATTACTTTATTCCTGGTAAATATATTTGTAGAGTATTCTGATTCGGATATCTTTGGTAAAATTGATATTGTACAATGTTGACCAAATTCACTTTCCTTTGTTTCATCATTGATCCAGTGAAGACTTAAACATCTATCATAATTACCAAAATCATAGAAACCAGTTTCAGTTGAATCAATAATAAACCTAGATGATGAATCAAACACTTTGTAATAAGAATGATAAAAAACAAATAAGTGGATTTTAGTAACAAATTTAATTTAAATGCAAACATGTGATTGTAACGGCGCTTAAATGGTATCGAGTCAAAAGTTAAAGTACAATTACAATATCCAATTACTTAAAGATATCAAAAGATACTTACATTGCAATGTCCATTGATAATCTTTCTTCATTGAATTAAAAACATTATTTAAACTTTTGATACATGATGATGATACTTTAAGTGGTTCCAGATCATTTGAATTAACAAAATCCCAAAATACATGATTGAATCCAATTTTTAATAATTCGGCTTGTTTAATATTATATTCACTCGTTTCATTAGTGAACATGTGAATGGGTTGAATGAATCCATTGAATATCAACAGAAGCAACAAATAAGTGAAAAATTGAATAAAAATCTTCATCTTGATACAATTTTTGTTGATATTTTTATTATTGCTGTTAAATCAAATTCAAAATATTCATCAATATGATTCAGAAATCCGAGATAACGTTCAATTTCTTCGAACGATTGTTCTGGCTCAACCTACAAATGAATTCAACCTTAAAATGAGTTTCTATTCAATTGAAATTTCGTCAAACATTTACAAGCAGTGAAATTTATTCATTGCTACTTTCTTAGATTTCTCGTTTCTCTGATGAAAGGGCCAATTTCAAGTTTTTATCATATTGATGATCGTGAGTCAGTTCGAATCACTGTCACAATGAAATAATTTAGCTTATCAATGGCTCGAGGCAGTTTAAATTTTGTATAACAAACAGGTTCAATTTGGACCTCAAAATAGCTGCCTGTCGTCAATTGCATGGTTCAATTAAATTCGGTTAAATTACAATGACCATGAGCTTCTGTAATCCATAGAAAAAAATTCTTGTAAACAGCTTAAAGGTAAATATAATGGTTCCTGGAATCATAAGGAAATGATTGTGTTATTAATTTCACTTAATGTTACTCTGCACAAAATTGAGGCTTAGATTACTTTTTTTGATTTTTCATTCAAATTAATGAAATACCTTGAATAAATAAAAAAGGAAAAGTCGGCTAAAATTCATGATAATTTGTTTTTAGCGCAAAAAAATTGCTAATTACAGATGAGTAAAGATATTGTTCAATAAACAGAAGAAACGTTTCACGCTTAACAATAAACAAATAGCTGTACTTACAATTACCGTGTTTCCGCACATTCTAGCACCGAGCTTGTTCTTGAGTGAGTTCACTTATAAGCCAATGTTGACACTCGCTCTTATGCATAAGAGTGGCTGTGTGGCTTAAAAATGAACTTAAAACTGGTTTATTTTACATTGAATACATATCTTTTTGTTATCGATTCTTGCTTTTTTTAATCATTTTTAAGCCACAGAGCTAAATTATGAGTGTCGACATTGGCTTAAAAGTGAGCTTTTCATTATTAAGCCTGGTACTAGAATGTGCGGAAACACGGTACCTTACTTCAGCTTTTCTTGAATTCAGTGATTACACTTGCACATTATATTGCCAATAGTAAGACGAAAGTACTAAGCTAGAACTGTTAATTCTAGGGCTAGAGTTTCGATACCAATAGATGGCTCTGATTTTTTTTGTCAAAATAAGTGTGAAAAGACTGTATTTCTAAAAAAGTACATACGCCATCTATTGATTGGGAAAATATTCACAAGTTCGTCAGACGACTAACAAGGGAACAACGCGAAGTGGTAACAACCGGTTTATGTGTTCAATAGCCTATTGGAAAGAGCGCGGTAAGTAGGTAAAATGTCTTAATTATTAGCTATCCTATAGGTTTCCTATCGAAAATTTAAGGCCACTAATGAGTACATAAAACGCTGACAAAATGTCAGATTTTGATTTTTTCAATCAAATTTTTAAGTGACCAAGGACGTAATTTTATCTCTGAAACGGTGCAACGATTGAGTCGTTTCATGAACTCTAAATGGCAGTTTTCAACGCCCTACCATCCTAAAACTAATGGTTTAACCGAGAGAGTCAACAGAACCATATGTCAGATGTTAATGCATTATTGCCAGGACGAAAACCGTGCAAAATGAGCTGAAGTTCTACCTTTGATAAATCTAGCTTATAATACAAGCCCAAACACATGCACGAAGTTACTTCATTTTATCTACTGCATGGCAGACAACCGAACTTACCTATTGGCTTAAAATTAGAATCAAAGGAAAAAGAGATTTTATCACCAGAATACTGTCAATCTATCGAACAAGAGTGGCCGCTGGTAAAAGACCATGCAGCTATTTGTTCAGATGAAGCAAAACAACAGCAGAAACAAATTCACGACAGGAGATTTAATCCTACGAGAAAAGAACATAAGGTCTAATAAACTAGAATCAAAGTACCAAGGACCTCATGAAATCACTGATAAAATTGGTGAAACAACTTATTAAATTAAAGAGGATGACTGGAACCATTTTGAGTACACGTACACAGTGAAAACCTTACATTCAAGAAAATTCAACAAAAAAACTAGTTGACAAAATGGAAATCAAACCAATCCAATCCAAACACTGGATCCAACAAATACCCTATTCAGCATAAATTTCTTCGTAATTGAATTACCATGTGGAAGTAAATGTCCAATTGACTCCATGTCGAAAGCAAGTTGTTCAGCTCAAAATACAAATGGTGAAAACTTTTCGTCATTTTTATTTGATGTTGATGTAATAGCGGAAGAAATCGTTGTGCAAAAAGCAGTTACCTTCATACTCACTGAGGAGAGAAATGGTACTGAAATATGTTTAAAAAAATACGATGGTCCCGAATATGTCATAATCAACAAAACATCAACTGAACTCTGTGAAATCTCAAGAGAGAAATTGAATCAACCGAAGCTATTATTTGCTGGAAGACGCTGTAAAAAACATCTTAACTTTGGTAAATGGAAGTTATCTAACTGTTTAAAGACTAACAAGTACATTGTCAAAGTATTGAAATCAAAACATTCAACACGACTTCTACATCTATTGTATGGGACATAATTTGACAATGTTCAACTAAGCCCTTAACTAACTTGTACCTTGCTCAGATAGGACCTTGAAAATCTCTAGATCACTTCCCTTCGAAATTGATGGTAGCCCTTACACTGTTTTTAAAATGGTCGAATTGGCAACCAAGCCAATAACTACTTGTTGTAACTTAATCAATTGGAAAGTCATGCCTTACGATACAGAAACCGTAGATTTAGAACCAGCACCAATTGAGCTTCTAAAGGGAATATAAAAGAAAGTGAAAAATGCATCACTGCTAAACCGTGGTATCAACGTATGTAAATGACTTGATCAATATTGAAATCGCAACTATTGCAATTTGTGTCGTCATTCTCATATTTTTTAAATGGCTTGAGTGTAGCTACTACATCTACTGTATCTAATAACAAGACCTGTAGTCTATCTAACTGTAAACAGAGAAGATACTGACCTTCGCATGAACTATTCACCAGATATACTATACAAAAGCATCAATACCGTCAGATTCCCTTAACCTCATTATATTAACCTTAACCTTTATTATTATTACCATTATTCTCTTTTCAGTATGGACAATAGAAAAGTTTATCGAATCATAAATAGACATGCCAATGAACATATTATTTCCCTGTGGTCCCTTGAAAATCATCTAACGAGAGAAGTACGAGAAAAGATCAAAAAAGAATTAGCGTTCTGCAAAATTATAATCGACCTGTGCACCACCAAAGAGTTAGCTTTTAGAGCAAAAGCTAGAAGTGATCGTACTCTTAAGAGGGAATATTTGGGAAAAACTATATATTGAACTATATATTACAACGCTGAAAACATTGATCCATGTACAACTGTCCATACTTAATCCTTCGTTTTTCTTTTCAGAATGAAACCAACCTATAAACCCGACGAAGCCAACCATATTTATATAATATAGCACCAGATAGACCGCCAGTTTGGCTAATTTTAAGACAAGTTGCACATTTCGTTATCCTCGTCCAGTATTTGAAAGCCCTTTTCTTTGATAATGGGTATGCCAACAAATCAGAACTCAAGGGAACCTAATTTACCGTTCAATCCACACAATTGAATGATCGAAAATTTGAATGAGTCACTATTCGCTCACATAATCATATAAGGCTACAAATGGCCATTAATAATTTTTAGGAGAGTTAGGTGATATTTGCTACAAGCAAATAAAGAAAAAACATTGTGATATTTGCTTTGCGAGTCGCACAAGCGCTCCGCATGCACTAATTGTATAGCCTGTACGGAATCAGAACATCGTTACATGTCCTTTCCTTGGTCGATCACAGCCACAAGCTGTTAAACCGAGCAAGAAATCCAAAGAAGTTGACGAAAAAAGCAACAGAAAGAGAGAGCTTAACTCTGACAACCGATCAACAAATCCGACAATCCAAATAAACGTCTTGGCGAGTACAAATATTCTAGTTTGACCGACTTGTTACGACACAAACCAGAAGGTAATATGAAGAAAGCTTTGTCTCTATATGTTTTGTTCACGTATCCTTCATGTACTCCTAAAAGTTTGGCAATCGCAAGAAATTAGAAGAGTAGGAAATGTGAAAGTGGACTGCGTGTATGTTCAGATTTTTCCCAGCGGATCGCACGTGTGATCACGGATTATGAACACACCGAAATCGATATTGATTCAGCCTCATCAACAGCAGCCTCAATGGATTACTCTTCGACCTTAATTTCTGGTACATCAGATGATGCTAGTGAGAATGGCCTCGAAAATTATGTAAGTCATTTTTGCAATTTATATGGTCATCCGGGAAGTCCCGCCCGTTGCCCTGTTCTCAAAATTTCCGACAGATAGTGACTCGACGTTTTTGGATTGTAATCTCAAACCGACCCAATTAAAGCATCTGCCATTTTGAATTTCATAATTTCATAAGTTTTTATTTTCTAAAAAGTGCCATGCCGGACCAAAAATTTCGTTATATCATACAGTACTTCGTGGCAGTGGGAATTCAGATTGGGTCGACAGTCTGCTTAGGATCTGCCTCGGACGGGAAGGCCTTCGGAAATCGATTATAAGCGCGCTTCACGTGATATTCAGGAGCTGATCAACATTGATCCCAGGATTCCCATCGATAGAATATATTCAGAGATCGGGCTATCACATGAGACCATCCACAAAATCGTGCGTGAGGTTTTAGGCCTAAAAAATCTAACAAAATGGATCCCACATGTTTTGAATTCAACCCATTATGAGCAACGCGTGGAAGCGTGTGAAAATCTTTGGCGCTCTATAACAAAAACAGTTATAAGCGATTTTGAACTCAATTATTACTATGGATGCAACCTGGGTAAATAAGTATGATCCTGCCGTTGAAAATGAGGCTGAAGAGTGAGTGCTAGATAAGGATATGGTTAGCAGAAGACCAAGATTGGACAGAAGAGCTGAAAAAGTAATGTTCTGTGTTAGGTGGGATTCATTCGGGGTCATCTATTCTAAATTTATGGAACCCGGTACAACTGTTGACGGCAATGAATATAGAAGACAGCTGGATGAAGGCTGAAATTAAGCACTTTTTCGAAAACAAGCCACAGCAATGGTATACCGAAGGAATTGCGAAATTAGCCATTCGGTGGCAACGCTGTATTGATGCCTTTGGCAGTTACTTTGATTAAAATTTTTCTAAAATGACTCCTTCATGCCTGGGAATGGGACTCTCCGGATGACCTAATAATTCTAGATCCTTCTCCATCTCCACCTCTACGAAATCCTCAGGCAAATGAAATGCAACGATTGACGCAAATGATGGAAAGGTTGATTGTCTTAAAAGAGAGACATAATGAAATTGATGACCGGTTATATGGCGATATTGGTACAGTTTTCGAGCATATGATGTTTATATTTGATGGTTTGGTTGAGGTGAACCGGTACCTCATGAACCAACTAAGACCGCAATCCAACAGATTGAACTCGTTTGCCGGTCAACTCAACACTTTGGTAATGCATCACTATTATGATTCAATGAATGATGGCCGTATTGATGTAGAAAGTGATGATTACTATTAAAAAATGATCAATGTAATCAAAAAAATTTTGTACCCTTTTTGCTGCACCTAAAATAAAACTATTATGAATAAGCTACTTGGCTTACTTTCCCTTTTATTCAGATTGTCTCACGAGAAAAAGTAGAGCTGGAAAGAAAAAGAAAGAAAAAAGGGAAGAGAAGAAAGAAGGCATAAACTTAGAATACATTCAATTATTAAAACACTTATCTTGCATTACATTTTATCATTATTTAATCATCAAAAAGGGTATAGGCAACCAAAACTCGTATCTGTCAAATTTATTTTAGTTTAAATTTTCTGATAGAGCATGCTGAAAAACTATGTTCAAAGACTAACCTCAAAGATGCATAACTTGAAAAATTAAATTTTCATCGGTAAAAAAGGCCAATTTTTTCAGGAGAAAAATTCAATTGAAAGGAATGAAACTCCATCACATTATTTCAAATATCATTCTATTTTATTTGCACCCAAAACAATGCTCAATTCAAATTAATTCGTTAATTAAAAGGATTTCAAGTTAGTGCCATTTTCTCTTGTATCTCTAATCTAATGTTAAAAGCCTGAACCGACAAAGAATTTTGCGTTTACTTTTAGCGTTGACTAAATAAGATTGAGGTCGAATATTTTGATCGAACTGCACATAGGCCTTTTTTAATTCTTAATAATTGAATTGCAACTAAATTTGATAAAATAAACCTAATAATTACCTAAATATCATTGTTTAAAGTTAGTCTCATTTTTTATTGATCACACCTTATTCGCTGATGTAATGATGCAAAAATGGAGTCAGCCCAACTGGCGATATGGATCAAATGACAAGAGTCTCTTGAATAGTTTGAAAAATAATTTTTTGTATTTTATTGATCACAGACAAACTCACACACAAATCGATTGCATTGTGTGCATTAGTTGCCGTTGATTATTTTGCTTTGAGTTTCAACTGTGGTCTTAACTTTATAGTTGCGATAAAACTGGTAACTGGACCGACAACAAATAGCTGAAAGAAAAATGCTGCGAAAAAAGTTAGAGCTAAACACTCAATAGCTATTGAAACCTGTAAAGAAAAGGTAAAAGAAATAAACAAAAATATTAATTATGTTGTTAAATTGTTTATGAGGGGAGATGAACTTACAAATGACTCTATTGAATTGAGTGACCAACGTTGTATTGAATATCGTAATGTAATCATGCAGATATGCACATAGTATGAGGATCGCCAGAGTGTTGACCAAATGTGGAGTAAACGATTCTTCTGTCCAGAAGAAATCTTTTTACTAAATTGTGTGACTGCATTGTCTTCATCCGTCTGAACGACTTGGTCAATCTCCTTTTCAGAGCTTGGTTCAAAATTATTATTGATGTAATTGTTGTTTTCATTAAAAATTTCTTTGTCCAATGGATGAGAGAAAAATTCTCGCAATGAATCTGAATTGCTCATGTACACAAATGTGAATAAAGCTCCAATGAAAAGTCGAAAGAATATGAAATAAATAAAGTTCAAAAATGGTGGATAGACATGGCTTTCCAAAATAATCCAAATCATTGGTAAAATGTGTAATATTAATAGCACAGCAGCAAATAATTTGTTACGTCTAGTAAACTTCATCTAGAGTGAATAAACATGTATAAAAGACGAATGAATTAAGAGGACAATAAATTAGCTTCACAGTGTTTCTATTCATATAAAGATTACTTGAAGAAATGTTTAAATGGACTGATGCTTACCAAAATTGGATTTGATTTTTCATACTTGTTCATAATCAAATATGTCCATAAAGGAGGGAGAGTGTAGAGCCAAACAATCATTGGAGTTGGCAAATAAACGTTTTCAAACCAATAGATCGGTTGTCTTTGAAAATAAAAGATTAAAATTTAAAAGACTCTCAGAAATGATAAATTAAAGTAGGAAATCACATATCAATAATCAATGTATTTACCTCGCATCCAATGAACGGATTAACGTGTGAGGATGAGCATCTTTGATGAATGCAGAGACACCAGTATATAATAATCCAGCTATTACTATTAATGAGTTAATGATAACAGCAAGTTTTGGAGATCTTTTGTAGAGATGAACCAATAAAATGATCACAGGTAAAATTTGAAATTCAACAGCAACAGACCAAGTGTGTGGTAAACACTGAAATGGTAGAACAAAAATTAGAGCTCAAGAATAATTGATCAATCATCATAAACATGACACATACCATATCGATTATGGGACGATAATTGTTTTGTATAAATAAAAGGTTTGTATGAAACGATCTTAAACAAGCTTCTGCAGTATAATCACTGAATATTGACATGATAGGGCCATCGAAAAACACTGGAGTGATGAAGGTGAAAGCGACCAGGGGAAGAGAAATGAGGATGATTCTGTAAGAATGAAAGATCGTCATGTAAATATTATTCATTAGAAGAAGAATTGAGACAATTTACGTAAACATTTTGATGAACATGTTGATAAAAGATGGAATCAAAGAGGTTGATGGTCCAATGGACTTCCAGCATTCCATGGTGCGAGTTATCGATCTATGGAGTAGATCAAAATAAAATTTCAATCATTGCATTAACATATTAGAGCGATCCATTGATGGTTACCCTCGCATAGTTAACTTAACTTGAGATAAACAAAAACACTTTTAAGTTACTCTCCAGGTCTTATTTGATCAGGATCATTTGATTTTTGCGCACAACTTAATCAAAACTAATCAGAAATTGTCCAAACCTTTTTCCCTGATCAAATAAGACCTGGAGAGTAACTTAAAAGTGTTTT